CGTGCTCCAACATCAATCACCGAGTTATTATGGACTGTACTCATCAAACGTATATCCTTCTTGCCTTTCTAATTCACAACCTCTTTTTTCTCTTTTTCTGCTGAGTAGACGTTGAAGCTATCTCTCACTTTCCTGTATCTTATGTAAAATGGCGCGAATATTTATAAAACCCGGGGTTAATTCAATTAGAAATAGAATGCCTGATTAGTGCTACTCTCTAGGAGGTATGACGTAGAACAACGCTTGAGGCGCGTTACGACTGCCCTGCGGAAGTTTCACTTGAACGCGCTAGACGCGTTACGGACGACGAAAAGGTTAATCAAACCAAACTAACCTTCTGAGAGTAAGCACCATTTACTTTGGTGACCCTTGCTTTACAATGCAGCAAACAGAGCAACTCTAGCCATGCCGCAGTTCGATATACCTCCAGTTTCTTTCTATAGTTTCCGGAGAGCATAAAGGATTGGATTAGAAGAGTCTGCATCAACATATTTATTTGAACTAGCTAATGTATGTTAATGGTGGTTACATATGCATGTTCAATTATTTATAACGCATTATTAGTAATACATTTGCTTATGTACTTTTGTGTGCACAGATGTTTATGCACAAATTTATGCTGTCAATAACAGAAACTGAGTATCTGTATACTTATATTAGGAATGTCTGCATCAACATATTTATTCGAACCAGTTAGCGCATTTGTATATAATGTAATTATTTATACTACCTGTAAGAAAATTCATTCTGGGTATATTTGTATTAGAGATGACTGCGTCAATATAGTTTGGACTATTTTATGTACTTTTAAAAGTATGTGTGTATACACATGTATTTACGTACAAATTTATAGTGTCTGTAACAGAAACTGAATATCTGTACTTTTGTATTAGGAGTGTTTGCATCAATATATTTATCGGAACTTGTTAAAGTATTTTAATAGTAATTATATATATATTTATATATATGTACAGGGTGTATCAGTACAGCGGTGACAATCTTTCAGGAGAGATAGAGTACACCTAGACGATGGGAAATCACATAGCAATGCATGGTCGGAAACGCTTTCCTGACGCGGTAGTGGCGACACAAAACAGAAGAAAGGAAGGATACACACAGCGAGAGAAAACATATTTTATTACGTTTGTTGTTGCTGTTGCTTATGCTCACTTGTTTGCCGTAGTCAGCCCAAGCCCACGAAATTCCTCCTGGCAAGGAATGCTAGATTACGCCTGTCGTTGACAACAGCCTTGAGCATCTAGCAGGTAACAGTGAGATTTGACTAAGTTCCGCCCCTAATTTTGATAGAAATAAACCCGGGGAGGACGAGTCCCAGGGTATCTCACCCCTACCCCCTTCCACCAAAACACAAGAGAGGATTTTCGGCTCGCTGCATGTTTAGAGTGCCGCTATGCTGCATCGACACTATACATTTATAAACATCCATGCCTTCTCCGGATTCGAACCCCGGCCCTTCGGCATGGCAGTTTATTATGTTTAGTACATCAGAAACCTTCAAATAAGAACAAAAACAAACAGCGATCGTCATTAAAGAAAGTGTTCTAATTACGACCCCAGACCGTGATGCAGGCGTCACTTCTCAGGCGCATAAAAGATCTACATCACGAATAGAAGATCGCATGGAAAATGCATGACGCACGGTTCCTGCATCACGGTCCGGGTAGTGATTTCGAATACCTTCTTGATAATCGTTATCTCTTTATGTTTTTCTTTTTTTTTTCTTTTTTCTGTAACCCGAACAATAAACATGTTTTCTCACCCCCGTTCGTGTCCTTTTTTTCTTGACTTTCTTGACTTTTGTGTCATTACTTCCCCGCCAGATAAACGTTTCCGATACTGCATTCCTATGTGATTTCCCATCGTCTAGGTGTACTCTATTTCTCCTGAAAGTTTGTCACCGCTGTATTGATACACCCTGTATATAAATGTATTTATTTATACATACGATTTATAATTCTGTACGTTCTTGAAGAAAGCTGCGAGGCCGTACATTCCCTATGTCTTCCTTTTGTCAGACTTATACAAGATATAAATATAATGATAAAAGTTATAGAGGGTGATTTTTTTTAAACTGACAGTACTCAGAGTCATCTGCATCTCGATCTATCAGCTGGAGTGACACAAATCTTGGCAGAGAGATGTAGAGATGAGTACTTGCTGTGAGCATCCCTACTGAGTACTTGACCTGGTGCCTTACTACAATATTATTCGGTACACTGATCAGTGTTAAATCTTTCTTACTTGTACAGTAATATATCAAAATTTATCCTAAAACAATATAGTCTTAAATACTGTCCTAATGTAAATATTTTTAATAAACAATATGATCTTAATGCAATTAGCAATAAATGAAATAAAATGCAGTAATACATACAGTCCTAGCACCATATTTTATATAAAAAATATTGTAGCAGTTGAACGATGCTTATGGCAATAGCAGTTTATGTTACTTGACATCGCCTTCACTTGCTATTTTGTTTATGATACTGTTGATTAAGGTTGGGATTTTAATGATAAGTTTTTAAATTTCCAACCAATATTTTTAGGATGTGTTCATAAAGTTCCGTAGTCATTGGGTATTGAAAGAAGTAATAGTCTTCTCGTTCCCCATATATGCAGATGTTAGAAGAAGAAATATTTCTATCGAAGAAATATGTGGGGAAGGGACCATGACCTGTTACACACTGGGTAAACTGCTTGGAATGTGCTGATTTCTCTAAAACTGTTTTGGAAGAAATCGCAGGCTTTTCTCCCTGCTGGCGCTGTTTTCCTTTCTTAATGCCAGCTGTCTAGTGCTATTTTCTTCGATCTGTACTTTAAATGACAGCGTGGCCAAGAGATGATGATATATGAAGTTAATTGCATTTGGGTTGCTTGCTTTGCAAATTCATCGGCCTTTCATTTTCTGATAGCCAGAGTACCCTCTGATTCGGGATATTGTGCTGTTGATGCAGATTGTTGTAGTTATCGTTTCGGGTTGAGATAATATTAATGTTCTGTGCTAATGGGAGGAGTTAGTGGGATTTTTGAGAACATTTATGCCCTTCAAACGTAAGTCAGTTTCACAGGAAATTGCTGCTTGTTCTAAAGATTCCCTTTCTATGTAGAGTCATTTATTGGAAATTCACCAAATTTGGTAGAGAAAGCAATGACGACATGGGAAGAAAAAAAAAAAAAAAAGATTTCTTGAGAACGAAAAAACCGTAAGTTGCATTTGTCTCTATTCCAGTCTGCATAAATGAAAATTCGCAAGAAATGGAGGAAAAATTTGAAAATTCAAATGTTCGGTTAGGTAAATGACAGTAGTATCCGTAATTCAGTACTTAACGTTAAGGGGAAAACTCCGAAGCGTATTCCGAATGTTAGCTGTGTTCAGCATGCGTCTCATTTTACCTCATCGAGAGTTACTTATGAAGTCATTATATCTTTATCAATCGAGCGCAACCGCCGCTCATTGAGAGCATAGAAATCGTAACAAGCTATGTAAAGGCCTCTATCTATCAATTCATTAAAGGCATGATTCAGAAGCTAGAAGAAACTTAGTAGCTTGGTTTGGTACACAGCGGAAACCGGTGTCAGAATAGACTGTTACTGATGTCACGACTGCAGTCTTTGACGGCACCCGTGGGACCGTTGCTGGTAGTAGCAGTGCCCAGAAAAAAGCCCGACAGTTGGGTTTGAATCTTTCAACTTTATGTCAAATATTTCAGAAAGCTCTTCTCTTCTACCCGTACAAGATAACCCCGCGCAGGAATTAAACACAATAATTATAACAAATGAGTGACATGCATATGCTCTGACATTTCTCGCCCGAACGGCGGTCGACAGTGCTCGCCATGGAGAATTCTGTGGGCAAATGAGGTCCATTTGCACCTAAATGAGGCTCTTACATCCGAACAATTCATGCAGTTCAGGAAATCCAGAAAGTGACTGTTTGGTGTGTCTCTACAGCAGATTTCATACGCGTACCATCCTTTTCTAAGAACATTATTCTCACAGGATTACAGACCTGGATCGTTAAGACGCAAATGTATCATGATATGTTGATTATTTCTGTCATTCCACAACTACAGGAAGGATAGTTGCTCTATCAGGTACCTTCTATGCAGGCTGGAGCGATATCGCACACTAATCTATCCGCACAGCGGCTGTTCTACCATTACTTTATAGAAGAAACGTTCGTAAAACGTTTTTCCCAATTCATGGCCGCCTCACACCCTGGATCTAACCCCATGTAATTTGTCTTTTCCTGGGGGTTTATTTGAAGTCCATTTTGATGGCATCCCGACCATGACGATTTTAAAGGACAACTTATCAAGGGTTTGTGAAATGTTACGTTTGACAATCCAGAATGTTGTCTACAGGATGCAGTGTGTGATCCACAAGAAAGGTGATCATATTTTAAGAGCTGTGTCCTCTAACTACTATGGCCAGAACCGGTGGTCATTTTATTATGGAGGCATTTAATAGGCGACCACCGTTACCTCCTACGAAGAGATAGACAATTTATCTATATCCATGCCTTCTCCGGGATTTGAACCCGGGCCCTACGGTACGGCAGTCATTAACTACTTTTTTGTTTGGGCGGCGAATGGTTGTCTAGTCAGAAAATCAATGCTAAAGACGAAAATAAATATCCAATCAGAGTTTAAGTTAAAATTGCTAAAGGCAAAAATATCATAGAAATGCGTTAAAACAAAAAAATTCTAAAACGTTCTTAAATAATGAATGTCTATCAGCAAAATGAAATTTCTGCAGTTTTCTATTCTGAATAGTTTGCGTATTCCTAAAATTCCTAAAATCCACAGAAAATTTCTTTATTTGCTTCAGTGAGTAAATAAAATTGTCATAAAGCGAAATAACGTTGCGTTATAGAATAATAATGAAAATTACCTTAGAAATAGTTTATGTATTCTCAAAAATATATCAAGCAAAAATTCTAAGTAACAAACTATAAGCATTGAAAAGGTGTTACTTACCGTAGTGCTCTGACGAATGTTTCTTTCTTACTACAAAGCAGACAACAATTAAAACTATTAAAATTACAACAGCTGAGACTGCAACTGGAAGGATGATAGTCATATCCAAATAAAATGGAGCTGTTACTTTATTCACAACAGTTTTGGGTGTGACAGCATCTGAAAAATAACAACAATGATGGAATAAGGTAATCGAAGATTTCTTCAAAATAATAAAAAATTATGATTAATGCTGCTTGCGTAATTTATCAGTAGATGGCAGCACGAACTACAATTTGATTTATTTTTACAAAATTTCGTCAGACTAATTAAACAGTGTGAAACTTTATTATCTTATAAAGCAACTGCTATAGTATTTTTAAATAGCAAAATTTCATAGCAGTCACAGTTAAAAGGCACAAAATATACTTTCAAAAATTTTATGTTTTGTGTTCTGCGAAAGAGAAAAGATGAAGATCTTTCTACTATTAAATCATAAAATACGGAGATGGGATATTTGAAATATATTAACGTGAATCTTTCAAAATTAAATCACCAGTTTTTCTTCATTAGTATAAAAATACATATAAAATACTGTATTGAAAGAAATCTATTCTTTACTCATTCTCTATTCTTTACTATGTCATGTCTAAAATGCATATTTTTAAAGACCTGAAAACGCATTGTGTTTGAAGCTTTATAAAAATATAGGAAAGTATGTAACCTCATTTTTCGTAAAAATATATAAAGCATTTATGTTATACACATATTCAAAGCATGAACGACAAAAGTATAATACATTAAGTTTGCAAGATTTTTTATTCGCTATCATTTACTTCTCTCTACGGTTAGTTTAAAAGACATCCTGGGTAAAAATGTAACGTTACTTCATTTAAATTATTAAACAGATACTAAACTTACAGATAACTATTATAATAAAAAATTTGCATAAGCATACAAATTGTTTATAAAACATTTACAAAGAGATTATGAAGGACTCGTATTTTAACACACGCACAGTATATTCAAGCATACATCTGTCGGAAATATATAATAAATAAATATCCAATCAAATATCAATCTCTATTTAAGAAGAGGGAAAGAGATTTAAAAAGATTCTTAAAATATGTTTTCTATTTTAGGTTCTTTTAAAAAAAATATTTTCTGCAATACTTGCATTTTATTGTTAACAGGGAAGGTGAAACGAAAGATCTGGTTTTCGAAAATATGTTAACGAAAGTTTGTGTCGAGAGCAAATGTCAGCTCAAAATCTCAAAATGGAGACGTATATATCATTTAAGGCAAAGCAAAGCAGGAAAAAAAAAAAAAAAAAAAAAAAAAGGAAAACACCAGGTTTTTAAAAAGAAATTAATATTATTACAAGAATAAAATTAATCACAGGATAGGTAGAGAAGAATATAGAATTTTACATATATTTTGAATTTAACATATTCTCTATTCGTATAAAGCTAATATAAATTTAAAATTTAATTTAAGAAATTTTAATTGCAAAAATAAAAAATAACATTAATTATTGCTGCGAACTAATTTGCAGTATCATTTAAATTCTAAGAGTATATATAATTTAAGTGCACGTATCTAAAACCATGAAAAAATATATAACATTCAAAAAAATTAATCTAAAAAATTTTTAAGGAATTTTTAAGACCAAATTAAATTGCATAAATGAATAATTGTTGAGCAGGCAGGAGATAGACTTATCAAGGGGAAGTTGCCCCCCAAATCTAATTCTTCAATTACTCAATTCGTGTTTCGTCATCCATATAGGTAAGGGTAAAAGTAAAATTTAAAACCAAATGTTGTGAATTACTAAAAAAGAAATTTAAACTACTAGGAATTTTGAGATGCACTTAAGTTGCATATGCTCTTAGAATTTAAATGATATTGTAAATTAGTTCGCAGCAATAATTAATATTTTGAAAAAATTTTTGCAATTAAAATTTCTTAATTAAATTTTACATTTTTATTAGCTTTATACGAATAGAGAATATTTGTTAAATTCAAATTTCATTCCTTGCAGCAAAGGCGCAAGATAATTATTTTAATTTTTATTTAATTTAACTTTACTATGTTCTTGTGAAAGAATTTTACATATACATATGCTAAAGAAGTCAAGACATCCTAACCGAATGAGATCAAGCTCATATGGTTATTCTAAAAAACCAGGTAAATGGGCTGTCCCTTCATTTTGTCCCGTGAACGAAATGGGTATTTATTGCAGAATTAGACAAAGCATTTTAGTTTTGTGTTCAACGCATTTTAACTCAACAAAGATAATATAGTTAAGGGTGTAAAACATATTATATTCCGTGTAATAAAATCAATATATATTTCTGTCATTAACATTAACTCATTTATATACCGTTGAAGTTGAGACGAAAATATTGCTGTTATTATTAAATATCTCCTAAGAAAACAACTCTCGTTTCAACTAAAATAATGCAACAGAATTTACTTTTATTTACACAAGCTCTAACATTAAAATCATAATTATAATTAGGCTCCACCGCATCCAAAGAAACTTAAAGTGGCCTAAATTTTGAGAAGAACTCTATTAATTTTGAAAGCAAATAAGAAGCTACTGAAAAAGAAAGAATTATAACTGATGACCAGTGTAACTGACAAAATTTTGTTCAAAATATACGTCAATAAAAGACAGCCTTTTCTTTAAATTTTAACTTTGCTATTGGCAGATTTCTTTTTTAATTGTAATAAAACTGCAGATAACTTTTATCTTCATATCTTCATGTAATAAAATTAATAAAAAACAGTTAAACTATTGCGTTTTTTCTCCTGCTGTTCAGAAACGATAAAATTAACAAAATAATACATAACTTTTAATTCTTAAAGGCAAAATTCATAAATAAATTTTGATTCTAATGAAAGAAATATAAATGAATTAAGAAATATTTTCGTTTTTCTATCCTTAACGGCCAAATGAATTCAATTAGTTTAGCACCGAATGGAGTTTTAGAGTTACATAACTGGACATCCAGGCGGTCTACCATGCATGCATGCAATACACGTATTATAATTTTATAACGTTCATTGATTGTATCAGTCACAGCTGAATAAATAAATATTTAATAATTTTCATAATTTGAATTTTTTTAAATTTAATAAAGAAATGTAATACATGAAACGAATTTCAGTTATTATTTAGTGGGGTACGAGTTTTTACAGTATTAGGTTTTAGTAGCTCTCTCTTTAAAATACAAGGTTTTAAATAAAAGTTTAAACACAACTACTTAAAATCTTCAAAAAAACAGTAAATCTTTAATTATTGTAAAAAACTCAATTTACACATCTTTTTAATTTATGATTAAAAAGGGATCTTCAGGGATTTTCTTTCTTGAGAGGAAGAGCGAATTCATCACCTAAAAACTGATATAATATATATATATGCTATTTAGTAACAAAACTGTCCCTAGATGGCAGCACTGAACTAAAGGCTACAGTTTTTCTCAAAAAACGTTGGATCAACAGCATGCATGCACGTTATCATGAAGGAACGAATGGATCAACAGCATGCACGTTATCATGAAGGAACGAATGACGGAATAACTATATTGAATTGAATATTGCACTGATTATTTAATACATGCCAAACAACACAGATGAAAAGAAGCCCGAAAGAAGAAAGACGGGCATAAAAAATGAGTACTAAATCAGTGCAAAAACTTCAATATTAAAAATAACAGAAATAATGCATTTGAAGTCTTACCTATTTTAATACGTATTTGAGATCTTCCCTATCTGCAAGTATAGATAAGTTTAACTGATTAACACCAAATGCACGAAAGTTGCTGCTTAGGAGAGTGATAGCTTCGTGAAAGACTTTCTTAGAGGATTGGTTTGTATTTATGTTACACTCTGTGCAAACCACGAAAAGTCAAGCGGTTTTCTCAGTTTGACCTACAGTTGAATAATCAGCGTTCAATGGTATTATCCACTGGTGGGCTGAAACTATATTAACATTTTACAGAGGAATCTTAAAATATCTAGTAAGAATACCGAGGAAGGACCGAAACAAGATTTTGGAATGAATTGTGCGTGCAGGAAAATGAGCCTTCAGATACTAGATGGCTCTTTTGAGATCGGTACATAAAAGCGGCTTAGATAATCTTTCCCTGTACGGATTTCGAGAGGTATGCAATATCAGAACGCTGAGTTCTTCAGTAACAGCCCCATGAACGCGAGCAGAAACTGAAAGGGAGAGGCTGCTCAATTATTTCTGAATAGACCACTGCCGAAATTTTACACGTTCAAACATGTTAACCCAGTGTAAGAATTATCATTCCGTGTTTATAGCAGAGGTGCAGAGAATGGAAATATTAAAGAAATCTTGCTGTGGAACAAGCTGTGATATGTATATTTGAAGATAATCCTGCTATAAGGCACGAGAGACAGACATAAAGCAACCAGTTGTGTGGACGATTTTAAATTCTTAAGAAATGCATCCATATCCTTTGCAAGTAGACACTGAAACAGACTATTATCCTCTATATACTAAATTTGCTCATTTGCACCTATGTTCCATCGTGGTTTTGTAAAACCTTACAAAACTTTTAACCCTCTAAGCGGCAAGGCCGTATATATACGGCCTAGAATATTTTTGGGATATTTGTAAGAACGTATATATACGTGCATATTAAAATATGTCAAAGAAATTAAGGCAATATATCAAAAATACGCAAACCCAGGTATGAAATACCAGCAGAGTTTTCACATTAAAATCAAAAAATAATTTGTTCTCATAATAGTTTTGGAAAATTTGTGCTTTCTTGGCGAAAACCTTGGCCGCTCAGAGGGTTTTAAAGTATAAATTCAGCCAAATATCGAAATAATGATACATCCATTGTGTTATGTATTAAAGAAAACCCCAAAATTTAACATCGGACATAATCTGAACTAGAGTGTTGGCCTGCAAATAAATAAAAAAAGATGTTTATTAAATCATAAATGAATCAATCTATTATTAGGCCTTTTAGCAAACATGTAATAAAATTGTAGACTCCCGGGAGATAAAATTTACGTTTAAAGTTTTCTAAACATTTACTATTGAAAACGTTTACTACATTTCCTATTTTATTTTCGTCGTGGCTTTAAAAATATAACATTAGCACTTACTTATGATTAGCTATGTAGCAATTCCGAATAGTTGGAAATCAATCTCAAATACATTTAGCTCATGTAGATTAAAGCGAACTAACTACAGATAGATGATCAGTGAATTTTTTTCAGCAGAGCATCTGGTAAATTCCTATAGACGGAATTTCGTTGGAAGAAAAACTTAAAATGTTGCCCTTAGTGGAAAATAGGGGCGACCAATCAATGCCGGCTGGATTCGGACTCCTCAAGGAAGGGCCGGATATGAGAAGAGAAATAATGGGAAAGAGGAGATGAATCTCTTCAAAGAGCGCATCTTACTATGGAAATTTCTTGGCAGATGAGTCGGAAGAATTTCTGAAGTATTTAATTCAGGTTGTGGAATTTCTCCAAAAGACTTTGGTAGATATCGGTGACAAGGCAATTTAGCCTTTAAAAATTATTCACACACATTTCTTTTTCTTTTGCGTGCGCCTATTTCTTTTTCTTTTGCGTGCGCCTTTTGCATGCTGCACAGATGATAGCAGTAAAAATCAGACGAAATCTTCTCTTGTCAAATAATTATCTTAGATTGACAAATAAAAGTTAACTTGAAATTCAAAAAATTATTTTGTACATTGTGTACAAATTTCAAATTGATAAATCAGTAATTCGTACTTTTAAAATTCAAATTACAATATTATTAAAAGTTATTTCAGAAGTCTGTCTCTCTCAACCAAGAAAACCTAGAAGGTAAAGCTAAACGCTGAGTGTCTGACTTTCCAAAAGAAAGGAAAGTAAGATTGAACAAATTAATTAACAGAAGATAAACTCTAATTTATAATAAATAATTAACTGAGAAATAGACTCTTAAAGCTAATTAACACCCCCTAAAATAAATAGTTACTGTTGGATGTGTATAACTGAATTTTCAAATACAATTTAATTAACTAATTTAATTGACAACAAAACACCTACAACATGTTGCAGCAAGTCCTGGTTGTCTATCTTACGTCTTATTCACTGATGAAGCTAATTTTGCACATTTGGAAACATTGAGCACTCATATTCTCCCCACTGGACGCATGGTATTCCGCACGGTTCAAGATCACATGACTAGTAGGAAATATCTGCATTAGTGTTTTGGGGTTTCGGACCATGGTACATGGACAGTACTCAGTAGGAACGCACATCCTATCTAATCGCTTTAATGGCTTCACTTGTGCAATGTTCCTTCTGCAAGGTATCTTGATAGAACTTCTTTCCGATGCTTCTATAGAACAGATGCTTGCACACGTATTTGGTTTCAGCGCCAACTGACTCGAGAATCAAGGTCAGAAATCACCTTGACATCACTTACGGCCCACACTGAGCCAGAGGTTAATCCTTGGCCACCATAATCGCCAGATTTGACACGCATGGAACATAATATACGAAAGTCTCTTTGAGTATAATGTAGATCTAGGGGTTAGGCTGTCAGTTGCTGTTGGAAACACGCGTAAAGTGCCTAAAATCTTTGCTAATATAAGCCAGTGAGGCTGCTGTAAGCCTCACTTTCAAGCATTTATTATAAAAAGATGAATTAATGAAATATTTGTTTCTTTTGACTTTACTTGTCTTACTTACCTATTGTTCGTATCTTCTTTACGTGTCAACCCTTTCACGTGACAATTTCGCACGCATTTTCCAAGAAAAGATAAAAATCTCCTTATTTCGGTCCTTTTTACCTGCCCCCCCCTTTTTTATTTTTTTTTTTTTTTAGATTTTTAGAATCACTTTGTACAATTAGCAAATAAGGATGCAACGAATAGTCTCTGTAATGTTCAAAAAAGAAATTACTTTTTAAATTAATAATTACTTACAAGTTATTTGTATTCTATACTACTGTTTGGTAGATCATTTATTCTCTAAAAGTTAAAGCAACATTATTTTTGGAGGGAGGCGAAGGAAAATAAATCATCCACTATGGTAATGATTATCACTAATGCTCTCAAGTGAAATTTCATATGATGTGAATTTTATATAGAGAGAGTGCTCCGTTTTCCGATGAAAAAGATTTGCTATGAAACACTTGACGAAAAATTGTGTAGAGCAAATGGATATTTTCCATCAATTCGTGTGCTAGAGTAATTTGAATGTTTGTAACATTTGATCTCTCTGGTGCATCAAAAATAATTTACCAAATTATACAGTTAAATTAATATCACTATATACAATCTAAATGACATTAACGTTTAGTATAAATAATAGCGATATAATATACGCACTTTTCTTCTGACACACAGATAATGTTTTTCTAGCCTATTTTCATTATTTACGCGTCTGAGATTAATGCAATGGGAAATGTTGGAAAATGAAGTATGAGAAACAGAAGAATATATAAGTGAACTGTTGTCTGAATGCATCAGGAAAGTCAGATCCCTAAAGCATATACAATTTTCTGACTGCCTGGTCTTGATATTTGAAGTCTATGCTTTTTATTATTTTGCATAAAAATGGCTTTGAAATAGTATAGCGTAGTTTATTGCTTAAAATAACTTTTATTTAACCTTATATTTCGTTGAACACATTCCGAGTACTTTGTAATTCTGCCCTAAATCCTTGTGACCTTTCAAAATAAAACTTTTTCTAGAAATCTTTCACTTCACTTTCTTTCACTTGTCGCTGATCGTTGTTTTCAAAAAAGCTATTCGAAGTAATTTCATAGCTGAAAAAGCTCTTCTTTTCTCCCTATTTTTTCTGTAAAAGCGAAAATCCTTTTGGAATGTTTTATTAAAGAATACAGGCCTTTTATAAAAGCCCATTAATAATGAGTGTTAAATAACAGTAAATAGAGTTTTTTTTTCAATTTTGCATAAATTTGTGGAGGTAGGGTACAGACTGCGAACAGCATCAAGTAATCTTACCTAAAGTGTTTAGTGTAGAGAAGGTATATTCCGCATCTGTTGTGCCGGCGAGGTTTGTCGCAGATATGTGTATCTGGTACCAGGATCCAGGATTCAGTCCTACCAGTTCCACTTTGCGATGTTCAGTAGGAAGAGGCCCATCATTCAGCACTGTCCATTCGATGTCCTGCTGCTGTCTGTACCGAATTAAGAATGAAGTAATTGGGCAACCGCCGTCATGCCATGACATCAGATTCATTACAGCGGCCGTCATATTTGTGCTCAACATAGACTGCTTATCTGGTGCCAGAGGGGCTGTTGATGATATTACAAACAGAATAGCAGTTAGAAGGAGATAAGAAACTTATTCATTTGATTAAAATGTAATAAGAAAAAATCTTATGTTTTTTACGAAGCCTAGAAATTTGAAACAATTAGTTTAAATATTAATTAGTGGAAGCTTCTACCAATAACGCAATAAAATATAGGTAAATAGCAAAAGGAAGTATGTATCAGGATACCAGCAAGTTTCAGTAAAATTATCCCATATGAAAAAAATATAAGATTAATGCATTTGAGTTAATGATACTCAATCATATACATGTCTGGATCCATAACGAATGCATATTTGATTCCACAGCGAGTAACAAGACTCGTCCATAAAAGAAATGTCTCCTGCTCTACAATGAGTTTATGAATTTTGCTGTAAAATGATTGAAACTGCATGCCCTAAACACCTAAACATCCCCACAAAAGTTAAATTAAAACTTGACGGCTCATTGCCCTTTGTATTACTTACTTTTTAAGCATAATAATCATTATCTTTGTCTTGCTCCGCCCAAAGACTGTCAAAAATAACATTTAGAATAAACTTTATTAGTCACAGCTTGCGGATGTTATTGTTATTCCAAATATCTCAGCTCCTTCAGCTTAATACATTCGTCAGGAATGACAGAAATCCATCTGTCATTTACCCGTCTCTAAACCCAGGCTCACTGAGGTGAGCAAATTACACCCGTAAAAAGAGAAGCTTCGTCCAAGTTTCGAACGAGAAAATCCTGTGGGTGGGTGGGGGAAATGTGATGGTCTGCTATCCCTCTTTCCCTACCACCAACTTTTCAACGGGACTTCCGGTTTGAGAGTATTTTAAATGTACTCATGCCTCAAATATACTATACACACCCGTTCCTTCTCCAGGATATGAACAAAAGCCTAAGGCTTTGGTAAATGACGTCCCATTTTGCCAACAAGGCGGAAAATTATGGATGCTACAAAGTAAAAATGATAAGCAAACTAAAGCTTATAGCTTTTTGGCAAACTTTACAACAGGCTGTTTACTGTTTCGCTAAAATTTCGTTCAAACGTACAACACTTTGGGGTAAGAGTGAAAAGCTAACTTTCTTTATTTTTACTGAGTTCAACTAACCCTTCTCAGTAGTGACTTCGAAACTCTGCCAGCGACTTTCACAGGCCACGTGGCAGAAAGATGTAAGAAGCTCCAATAGGTTCATGGTTTAGATCACAATCTACTTGCCGTATAATTTTCATTTAACTCTAGTCTGAGAGTGTAACGTTATGAATAAAAGAGGATAAAATATAAATGAACTTAAAGCTAACGATTAATAGAGTTTAAATCATAAATGCCACACAGCCCATCAGTTGCCGAGCAACGAAGTTGCTGAACGTTGGTAGAATAACTCAGGTTCCATTCCAGCAAATGGGCTGGTTACATGGGTGTTTTCGCAGTTTCTTCCATTGGATCGTTTTTTAAGATAAGTTGCCGAGTTATGTTGCAGATTATTTTCTCTTTTCTCCGAGAATGTCTTCGTGGTGTAACAGTAGCACACTCTGCTAGTATTTGAGAGCTCCATAAATAACGTAGACACGAACTTTCTCTTAGAAAGTTCTTTATGAAAGACACCTCTCCCCTTTGGCGAGATATTCTTTTCGTGCTTTGTCGTAGTCAAATACGCCAGCCAATCAGCCAACCATAATTGTCACATTTTACTTACATAGTATTCTAAAAGAAGTACGGTATCAAACTTATTTTATTATATTTATTAATTTGTCCTACCTAATAATCTGGCAGAAAGCAAAAGATTTTTGGCCATAAATATCGAACACAGAAAAAATAATGAAGCCAAAATTCTATCCAAATATGCGTTCTTATTTTCTTTGATTGGTGAATATTGTAAGACTTGTTTCAATATTTGACATAGTTTAAATCATGGATGCCTAACTCTTTCTATAACTGAAAAAATATTTGAAATTATGTAAGGATTAAGCTCTACTTTTATACTGTTGTTTGTGAAAGTTATTTTTATTATTATTTTTTTTAAAGAAATTTAGTTAAACTTTCTTACTGAAATTTTTATAGATGTAAATAATTTTAAAAAATCATATGTAAAATGATATTATTTTTGTATAAGTAACATGAAATGCTTGAAAGACACGAAGATCTGTTGGAAAAATAAGATTACGAGGACAAGTCTATTTAACAATGACGTAAATAGCAATCTTGCTAAATTAGGCGAAAAATCGCCCTGATTCGCCAAACTTGGAGACCATTTGGCGGCATTTTGGTCCGGTCCCTGTATATCTGTCATTGATACTGCAACTAAATAACTGTAGTTGTAATTTTAATAATTTCAAAAAAATGGAAGGTACAAGAGATTTCTCGACGGTTGGGGGAAACTAAGTAAGACCGGAGAGGGCGTCAGTTTCTGAGTTGTTTAATTCAGCTTGACTTCAAATTCTTCAGAGATCTCAGTAGGAGCTTTGCATTGTGTTGCGTTAAACTTTCTTAGCCGTCTGAAGTGTCATCGGTTCTGTGCGCATTGAATCTATTACGAACCTCTATTTATGATAAATGACTCAAATGACAAGAAAACTTACCTTTAAGTTGTAAACAGTTTTAATCGATGAAAACAGGGGTGCAGTTACGAAAATTATTTTTTAATATTGTTCTGTGTGCTTCACAAGAAAAATTTGTTTGAAATGGAGACCTGTATGAAAGTTAGAGCAATTAAAATTTGTATATTCAATTCCATATACATTTTTAGAAGGATAATGAATATCAGTTGATTAAAATTTTACTCTTATACAGCCCATAATAAAGTTTGAGAGTTAAATTTTATAGTGTTACTATATTAAAATTCCAAGATTTAAATGATGTTTGCAAAATTAAGAACAAAATTTTATGGAAAATTAAAATACAAAAACACTTATGTTAGTGATGCAGATTCCTTGTGCAGTTATTCAGAATAGATAGTTTTTAATGCCATATCTAGAAGAGCGTACATTTTACAAACTACTTTTAAGATAATCAGTTTTCTCTATTCAGTGACATTCATGCAGATATTTCAAAAGCTTGAGTAAAAAAATATTCTTTCATTTCTAATTTTATATTTATTATTATGAAATGATGAAGTATTTTTCTGCATACAATATACAACCCTATTTCGGTTATATGTAATACATCCAGGACCTGAGGTTCAAAAGATAAAGGTTATTTAAAACACTTTTTATAAAACGTCCTAAGCTTCAAAATACCTTATGTACCCTGGAGTATGGAGTACCACGATACATATAATGCAAGATAATTTACAATCAAAAATAAATAAGTAAGCATTAAAATAAAATAGAATAAAAACGTTTCACTAGAGGAGATTAAATAATACATAAATATCAAAACCATTCTAAACGAATAATGCGGATTTAGTGAAGAATATAAAATCCAAAATAAATAAATTGAAATAGCAAAAAATGCAAGTTTCAAAAAGAATATTTTGTGCTTTTATATGTAAACATACTAGATCAGAATTTTGTTGAAAATTAAAGGAAGAAAATTTAAAGAGCTCGGCATTTTTTTTTTTTTTTTAATTCAGTGAGAGAAATGACTGATACGACTAATAATAACAACAACAAAAAAAATAATAATAACAAAACAAAAGATACATGCATTCTTAATGGTTTTGAAATTACTCTTGTAAGTACAAAACTTACCTCCTCCTTCTGTTTTAACGACTAGAATTTCACTTTGTTCTCCGCTTCCTGCAGAGTTGTATGCTGTTATTGAAAAATGATATTTCGTACCACACAATAAACTACGAACAACATATGAATTCTTATCACCAGATAAGTTAGATTCTTCCCATTCTCCATTTTCTTGTCGATGACGAAGCAGATAGCCTTAAAATAAAAAAAGGAAAAAAAAAAAAAAAAAATTAATAAAATAAAATAAAAGCACTACATATTCTAGTGCTGCCATCTTTCAACAGCTCTAGGAACTATTACATATTTCTGGTAGTACTGAAATCAATTGGTTTAGTTGGAAAACAGAAGTTAACAGATTGAGAATTAAAAAATTTTTTTTCGTTGAATTAACATGCCCATCTTTTTAATTCGTTGAATTAAAATGTCAGCTTAGATTAGACATTTACTGTCGATGTGTAATAGCACTTCAGCTTCTCAAGCTTCGATCAATGCATCTGAACGTTGAATAAATTCAAAAAGAGTTCATTTTCTCAAAAACCGCATTTGCGAAAAGAATTTTTCTCAAAAACCTAAAAAATATATTACTGTGTATTGCTAATTTATAAAAAAATATGACAAAATTCAACGGTAATCGGTTATGGATCAAAATGAATTAAATATAACTAAAATAATAAAATATTAGATTTAACTTCACCGCTGGAATAGTTCTTTCAGTTAATTAACGTTGTAATACCCATTTAATCTAAGCAAAAGGAAGATAAAAATCCTTCTGATTAACACAAAATAATTTTTTATCAACTATTTTACCAATTTTTATCACAGTGCTGCCATCTACCAGATGTTGAGTGAAATTTAAGTCGTACTACATATTCTAGTGCTGCCATCTTTCAGTAGCTTTAGGAACTATTACATATTTCTGGTATTACTGAAATCAATTGGCTTAGTTGGAAAACTGAAGTTAACAGATTGAGAACCTTCACGGAGGACCTAATCAGCGACTTATTGATGCTTAAATTTGTGACCACTTTTTTATTTACTCCTTTAATGTTATAAACTACTAATGTGTTATGAATTACACCTATTATCATCATATGGCTAGGATAAAAATACATAAATAAAAATTCCAAAAAGTAATTAAATGATTACAAAATGCAATGTTCAGTTATAAATATTTCTTTATTTATATTATATCTACCATGTGAGCTAAATTTAGACAAATAGCAGCATAAATAAATATTTTGCGAAACTTACGGGTTTCGAAACTTCTTATCTCAAAAATAGACGGAGTAATATTAAAACATTTGCAAGTCAGATTTTGAATAAGGGATATTAAAAGTTGCACTATAACTCGAAAGAAATAAATATTACGGTTTAAGTAATTTATCAGAAATTAAAAATATACAATTTGACTAAAATTTTTCTTTCGAAGTTATATAGATATTTTAACATATGTAAAAGGAATCCAATCCATTCTAGACCTACATAGTGAGCATTTTTAGAACTGTGCTGGAAAATGGCAAATACCTATATTTTTTTAGAAATGAGACTTTCGTTCTTCAATTTGACAAATGAACACTGTGGCAATTAAACGTATGACTTCGAAATTTTTAACACTTCTTTTCCGATATGGCTAAGATAAAAATACATAAATAAAAATTCATTCCAGCTTGCAGGATTAGCTGTCAGGACAGCGTGTTTGGGCGCGGGTGTTTCCAGTGGAAAGCTCAGCATAACATAAAATTTATTGAGCTATCTGTTTAAGTCGTCGCTTACATAATGGGAAATTCTTCAAAGACAAAAAGTCCTACCTTAAAGCAGAGTTTATATATAGAATTAAAAAGTAGCTGTGTCATATAAAATTGGAAACGTTTCAACAAAATGCGTGCATAATGTTTCAATCAACCTTTCAAAAGGTAACTGAGCGTAACCTTTTGAGTCAGCTCTTCAAATCCTTGCTTAAATGATAAATTCAAACTAATATAAGAAGCGCGAAAATTATATTATTTAAGAAGTATTAAAACACACAACATTCCAAAGCTTCAAAATTTAAGCAAGAAATAAAACTACAGAGTGACTAATCAATGTATCAGTATTCCGACTACAGCGTTTCAGTTCTTCAAACGTAATCCAGCGTCCCTTAATAGTAAAGTGCTAACGAGTATTCAAGAGTTACGATGGTCCAAGGTTGTCAAGCTTTGTGTTTAATGGGTACTGCTTCAAGTGTGGGTGCGAGAAAATTATTTTCACTTTTAAATTTCTCTAATAGCACTGATATTACAAATTCATGAAATTTTTACATAATCCTACGAGAGATCTTTTCTGCACTGTAATCTTGAAACATTTTGGGCATCTAGGCAGTTTAAGGGATTTATAATGACCTTTTTCAATTAAAGTTTCACAATTTTTGGCTCTACTCTTATATGGGCCCTAAGATCACCAAATGTAGCGATATGTGTTTTGCGATATGTTTTTGGCGCGATTCCGTGCTGTGGGATGGTTTGGTGTTTGTATGGCAACCCTTTTGACGTTGAACTTAAAGACGTGGTGGCAAGATTTCAGTCGCGTATTTTAGATTGTGTGGAGAGTAAATTTAGTATTAAAAGGTACCATGTTGGAGTTGTTAACGAGTCTTTTGTTCACGGAGTGGGTTTATGCGGATAGAAGTGCATTTTTGGAATTTCTGTGGGAGTTAGGACATAAAACGGAGTTTGGCGTGTCCGAAATGCAGAGATGATACGAGAACTCGGACGAAGAATGGTGTTCTGATAGACTTGTGTGGGTTTGCAGTCAAATGGTTGCTGGTAAAGTATGTGGCTGTCAGCGGAGTTTAAGATTTGGATTGTGGTTTTCGTGTAGCAAGTTAACTTTGGAGGAAGTTTTTATCAATACTTTCAAAATTTTGAATCGCAGAAAGACATGTGATATAGCAAAATCATGGCACTTTTGTTGACAGGCGTTGTGTGACTTGCGAAATTTTATTCACGTATGTATTATGGTAAGTGCATTTCATTTTATTGTTTTTATTTTGCAGAATGTTATGTTCATTGTTTTTTCACTATGAATTTCTTTTGTTATTTGAATTGTTTGTAATTTATTTTAGTTATTTTAGTTTATTTTGTTGATTTGGTCGCAATGCGGAGATTGTGCAGTTCGTAGGTGTTTTTTTTTTTTTTTTTTTTTTTTTTTTTTTTTTTTTTTAAGTTTAAACAGAATGCTGTGAACATGGTATTCTTTGAAATTTATTGTTGTTATATTAATTTATTAAAGCGAGATGTGCGTAGTTCGTAGATTCTTTCGCTGCGTAGATTGTGCAATTCGTAGTTTTTTTTCTTTTTTTCTTTTCTTTCTTTCTTTTTTTTTTTAAGTTAAAACATATCGCTGTGTACATGGATTCTTGTGAAAAATTTTTGGTTAGAAACTTTACGTTTTTGCTATCTAAATTTTTTGGTTTTGTTTCGGAATTTTAGCTTCAATTGTATGTTCAAAATTGTGTTAAATTGTGTTGTTTTTGCATGTGCGAAACCGAGTTTTTGGAGACATTTTAGGCTTAAAGTTCGAAATGTAAATAAAAAATTTAAATAGTAATATGGCACCGTGGATTTTCTCACCAAAAAGTTTTGGCGAGAGATTTGGCGACCTGAGGGCGCTTATAAGAGTAGTTCCACAACTTTTTACGGATGATGCAATAATTCCTTTCTGGTTTGGACAAGCACTTACTCCAATAGGCGATTACTCGCTCTTGATGATCAACCATGTGGTAAACGGCAGCTCCCACACTTTCATTACTCTTATGTGTGTTTAATATAAATTATTGTCTGTCTGGAGATATGCGAGCATGAACGTACATGTTAATGCCTCCCTCAACTGATTAAAGGACTTTTCGCACTCCTCAGTCTACATGAATTTCTATTTATTCTATGCTAATTTATGCAGATGCCTTGCAATATTAGGGAACTCCTTTATGAATTCACGAATTCTCTGTAACAGGTACAGAGTCCCTGGAAGCTCCGTAATTGATGAATATCCACAGGGCGTTCCCAATCCTTAACTGCATTCATCTCTCTGTATCTCTCATCGGAGCTTTTGAGCACCAGAGTGGAAAACCAGTTGTGTCCTGATAGGGTGTCTAGAGTATCGTCAGTCTTAGGAAGAGAACTGTCTTTTTTAGTGACCATATTTAGTCTCCGGTAGTCTTCCTGACGAGAACTATAGGATATACCCATGGACTTGTGGATGGTTCAATGATGTCATTTTCTTCCATTTCTTTCAGATTTCCAACCTCTTCCTATTTTGTGAATGGCAGACGTCTGGGATGTTGCTTGATCGGAGAGTGATCCCCCGTATCAATTTAACTTTTCATCACTTTTGTGCAGCCAACATCTCTAGATAATAAAATAATACATCTTCAAATTCTTTAATTGTTTTCTCTGCCGCACGTATTTCTTCGTTGTTTACGTTTGCATTATAAAGAAGTTCTTCCATTAATTTCCTAGAATTCAGAATTGCAGGTATGGCTTTGTAAAGGAAAGTAACTGGAGTGCATATTGCTAGGACTTCACCCTTTTAGATGGTTCTTGTCTGTGGCTAACATTTTTCACTCTCACAGGGACGAAGTCTCTTGAAAGATCTACTAATATCGAGGCCACTAATACATTCGTTGGGCTATTTTCAGATTATTCAGTTATTCCAAATTTGAAGCTATTGCTTGCTATGCAGCCGGTTATTAATAATTCTGTCACTGGAGGGATAGTGACATCTGTTTTTGTTGTTACTTGGTGAGATGAAAGAATGCGGTTTTTGATTTCAAACACAGTTATATCTTCCTTTGTAGAATGCATTTCGTTATATTTAAAATCCAGTATAAATTCGTACTTCCGCAAAAAAGTCCAGTCCGATTATTAATTTATCTGCGATGTTAGCGACGAAAGCCAGGTGGTGGTAGTTCTCAAATCCGAAGGTAATGGACATGTTAATTTTGCCTTCAAACGGAATCTTGTCACCCGTCACTGTCTGTAAAGTCATACAGTGCGGAGTCCAACTCAACGTTTCGTTCAATTCCCGAGCTACATCTGTTCTAACGATGGTTACATTTGCTCCTGTATCGATGATCATCTTACAAAGATGCTTATTTATGTATCCTTAGACGGAACACTCCGTTATTTTCGCCGCTCATTTAAGAGATCTGGAAAACTTTCAAATAGGCTGCATCTCCGCCTGTCAACTTCCGCCCCGTGAGATTGTCGCTTTTTAGCTTTCCTTGTTCGGGTCCCTAGTTCCTGCAGAGATGTCCTTCCAGTCCGCAATTACAGCAGTTCTTTCTTTTCAGTTTTCTTGTATGCTGGAGTAACTAGAGTGCATATTCTTAATGTCCCAGAATCTCTCTTATTACTTCTCTCAGTTTTGCGACATCAAAATTTGGAGCTTCTATTTTTGAGCCGCTTTTGTTACTAATAGGATGGCGATCTTTTCGAATCACTTGTTGAGCCAACTCAAACTTCATGGCGTAGACCAAGGTAGATTTTAGGTCTTTCAGATCCGCCAGTCTGAGAGCCTTCTGAAGTTTCGCATCCTTGACTGCACTGAGATTTTCGCAGAGATCAGGTGGACAAACCGGATATACTTGATCCGACAACCTCTCAATATCAGTCACCAGTTCATGAAGGCTTTCTTGATTTTATGATGGCGAAGTTTTAACTGCAGGTGTCTAGTCTTTTACACATTTTCCCCGAATATCAGTTCTAGCTGAATCGAGAGGGCGTTGAATTTTGAAATATGCTTTCATAGAACTTCTAAGATATCTGCAGCATCGCCTCGGAGTAATGCAGTCTAATGGGAGATCTTGATGTGGTAATCTCTCTTGTTATCTTCCGCCACGATCGAAAACTGGGTCTTATATACATTCCATGACGATTTTTCATCGTATGTGCTTGGTTTGATTACCGTATGAGAATAAAGAGGGAGAACATTAAAAATCTTAATGTTCGTTCTTTGGCTCAGTCCTTTTTTCAAAGTGTAAGATTCCAACCTGTGTACCTTCAAGTTACAGTTACAGTTGAGGAACCTTAAGAAAAGGTAAGCGAATAACCGCTTAGTTCAGAGAGATAGAAACATAAACATACGGAGGGTTAATTACCCTTTATTATTCGAAATAAAGTTAACAGACGACTCAAACTTAGGCTTAAAGATGAACTTCTAAATATTAGTGACGTTTCTTGGAGTTACAATGAAGCCTCCAGTTGGGCCTTGAACTCAGGAATAATAATCAATAAAACTTAACCAAAAAGATATAGCCAAAGCTACCAAGTTTCTAACAAAGTCCGCCCCTTAATGCTAACTAATGGCGAAGCTACCAAGGGCTTTAAGTACGGCCGAGCGTAATAATACCTTAAGAGAGAGTAGCCTAAAAAGGCGAATGCGCGCTAGTCAGAATCTCTGGCTCTCTAACGAAGTCAGTAGAACTTGACAGTTAAATACTTATCCTCATTCAAACGAGATTCTGAAAGTACGTTCTTTCAGAAGTTGTAAGGTGAAATTCAGGAAGATAGGAAAGTAACTTTTAACTAAAATTTAACTGTTAGAAAAATTAACATAAACCTTACAAAAGCATCTACTTCTTTCCGGAACTTTCTCAATTTTTCTTCCACATCTGCCATTTGGGCTCCAGTTTCCTCTAACTGTTCCTTTTCTTTCTTTTATGTCTTCTAATTGAGCTTCGGTTTCCTCTGTAAGTTCCACCATGTAATGTTTAATCTTGTTTTCCTGCACTTTCATATGTTGGATTTGCTCTTGCAGCTTTTCTTGTCCGGCTTTTACTTCTTCTTGACCCGATTTTATTTCGCTCTTGATCTCCGCCTTCATCTACTCCTGTTCAGCTTTCACAGCTGCTAACATGTCCATCAAGGATTTCAGTTTTTCCGCCATGGCTTTCTCTTGCTAGTTGGTCACTCGCATCCTCTCACAAACTCCACTCCTGTCACCAGTTGTTGTATTCTACGGTTTCGTGGATTTGGAGTGATTGATGACAACACTTGATGAAGAATAAAACACTATTCGTCAGTATTTCTTAGGACAGTTCCAAAGACACGTTACAGTCGTCGAAAAACTACGATAAACACCCTGAAACAATCAGCAACACAGTCTTCGGGCTATCAGGCAATAACGGTGAAGACAGCTTCACGGTAAAGTGCTAAAGTACAGCTCTCCACTCGGTCGATCGCTCTCAAGCTAATCTCTGAACTCAAAGCACTACTACTGAACTCAACAGACTCAAAATACTCTTCACGAGAAAACTGCTACTCCACGTACAGGCAGGGTATTTATAGGTTTTGACCTGCCTTCGAGAAAATTCACGTAAAGACCGGTAAGAATTCGTTTTAAAATGTTCTCGCTCCGTCTATGACATATTACCAATTTTGTGGCGAAATGGGTGACTTCGTGCAAAATCTGGCAACCCTACCCCGCTTTGCGGGGAAGCTATATTTCCGCAGCTGGGCAATTCGTAACAATACTTTAAATAAATAATACTGTAATTTCTGAAAGCAGGTTACGAGAGCAAATTCAGTAACCAAGGAATTTTCGTTTATCGGTTAAAGTACATCAAGCATGCAAAAATATAGATTTTTGAAGCAGAACAGAAAATATATATATAGTTTTTCAAACCAGAAATACCTCAGTATCTAAGACTTTTACAACTAATGAGAATTATATATTTGAACTCTTTACTACTCGCGTGAACTCATACAGAAAACGTCCCACACAGTGTATTTTGTATACCACATATATTTAAATTTCTGGAAATATAAATTAATTTTATGTCAAAGAAAATACTACTGTAATATAATAATTAAAATGTCTTCTTAACTTAACGTGTGTGGATATTTTTAAGCAATGTAAATTTGTAACATGTATATTATTAACTTAATCTTTCATATGCAGTAGAAAGGTAATAAAACAAGAAAAAAAAAAAAAAATAGAAAAACATATCATAAAATAAACAACTTTAACTCTGCTCTAATATATTCATACCCAGTTACATCTTAAATGCTTATAAAGTAACAATTTATTCATTATTTCATAAAAAAACATTTTTACACTTGCCAACTTTTGTACAATGCAACTTCCCAAACCATCATGTTGCAGGCCCAACGTTTTATGGTATCAACTCTATAGTTAGACCCAGTTACAGGAAACACAAAAGCCCGAAATCGTTTTGTTGATAGGCCATGGTATACTTCATTTCGCCGTGGTGTTTCATTTCTTCTTTTGTAACTGTCCAGCATTCCTCTCATTGTAAATGGCAGACTGGGTAACTCAGTTCTTTCTTCTAAATGGCATTTCATAAGATCCAGGTCCAATTTTTTAGAAACAACCATGATTTAGGCTGTTAGAATTTCATAGAATTTGTATAATTTATCTTAGCAATATTTAACAGATGAAAAATTATAGAAAGAAGCCATTTTGTATTATTCTTGAAACAGCATAGCTTCGATACATATCTAGTCAGCTGTATCAACTCCTTCTTTTGCTGAGTTATAAAAAACAGCCTAAGTTCAGGCTATTATTATTATTATTATTATCATTATTATTATTATTATGTATCGGTTTGGAGGAGGTTATGCAGTCAAAATAAAAATGTAATTGATTTAATTCGTTTTGGAACGACATTTTATAGGTGCACAAAAAGGGAGGTTCACAACTACATGTTTTTGCAGTTCTATTTACAAAATTTAAACGCTTTGAAGTTACTAATTTTTGAGTTATACGAAGTACATGCATACATACGTACGAATGCATATACAGACCACATGAAAAAAATCTCTTCTGAATCCATTCTAAATCTTCTTTGCGACCCATTTTAGGAAAAAAGAGCCTTTTATCCTGTCCTTGTGTACAGATCACGCAAAAACTTCGTTAAATTGCATTCGTTAGCGGTCGATAGATATTTTCGCTGACATAAGATATCTGAAAATTTTCGCGATTTCAATACTTCCTTTACTTCTTACAAGGAAATAAAAAGAAAGAAGCAATAAATGAAATCTTGAAATAATATATTTTCCCGGTGCGTTGTATTCCAGACGCAAGATTTTACCTCGTGATTTACCACGATTTACCAAGATCTGACCACTATTTTTCATGTGGTGTTATTCTCTTCTCCAAATAAGAACTCTAATTTTTCATTTCTCAGTCTACGGCTGTACAACTGAACATAGTTCTTTCTTTCTCTTTTTTTCTTTTTATTTCCGTTTTATTTTAACACTTTGACTGCTAACTTGATTTTATACTTCACGACAGCATTTCCAAAAGTGTCGTGAAGAATTTACAATGTGGTTTTGAATAACTTTATTCAGAGATTTTTTTTTCATTTTTATTTCTCCTATACCTTTTTAATTCATTCTTTTGCCTAATTTTGGTTATATTGCATTTTTCAATGTTTCCCGTTTTAGACTACAAGCTTTCCATTTCCATTTTAGGCTGCAAGCGTTTCATTCGTTTGAAATTATTTTTTTCTCAGTTTGGCAGCATTTGTTGTGTATAAATTATCTTTTTATTTATTTTATTTTTAGGTAAATTTCCTTCTAAAGAAAAGTAATTTAGATTTCCACAAATTTTTACTTTAGAATATTTTTTACTTTTTATTTACTTTAGTTACTTTTGATTTACAATGCTTTCTTAGTAGTAATGCATTTCTTTTGCTTCAAAATTTATTTATATATTTATTTATTACATTATTTTTAATTTACCTGAAAAAATTCAATTACTTAACACTTAATTCAATCGTATGTCCGACTTATAGCCATGAGAAATGCATAACATAACTCCAAACAATACTGAATGTTAGTACTTCACGCAATATTTTAATAATCTCATTCTTACCTGATACAGGATTTCTTTTATCATAATTTTCATCCCATGCTAAATGGATAGAAGACGTTGTCTTATCTACGACCATGAGCGGAGGTGCCTGGGGAGGATCTACGTAAGAGGATTAAATCTTCATTCTCGAGATATTTAACAAGCTCTTAAAGGCAACGCAAATACATTTCATTACTGAAACATTAAATTTACTGAAAAGTAAATTACTTAACATGGTAAAGATGAAAATTATTGCAGTTATTGAAGTTTTAGTGAATGTAAATATTCTCAGTACAGATTCAGTAAAACAGAGGGTGACAAAACAAAGACAACATCAATAGATAGGAGATAAATACTATAAATGTATATTTAAAATTATGGATTTAATGGGAAACAATTTTCTGATTCTTTTTGTTTAGATTATTCATGATGAAGTGAGATGGATAGATGATAAAAGTTGATAATGAAGAAAAATATTATGCTAGATATGCGTCGATCTCATTGCGATAAAAATTCTTGTATACATAATTTTAAATTTTGTTTATTTATACAGATTGTAAAGCCAAATCTAAACTAATGCGATGCGTTCTAAATGCAATAACTCGTTCACAAAGAGTTATTAAAAAGCCATTAAACATAACATTTCAATATTATTTTCATACTGAAATCTTTATTATATTTCTTATTAAGGATTAAAAATTATCTCGCTTTGCAGAATATAAATATATAGAGTTTTTGATGCATTGAAAAGTTCGTTTAACAATGTTTTTTTCGTAACTGCCTCATTCAAGATCTTATTAAATTTTATCTACATAGCAAATTAACACATTTTAAATATATTATATGGTTGTCTCCATAAGCATTGTCCCTTAAAAGTGTTCATCAAGAATTAATCCGCAGAAGAGAAATTTGGTGATCATCAATTAAATGATTTAAAAACTATGGTTTCTAAAATTTATCGATTTAACTAATCAGTGGTAATTAAGAGCATATTTTTGATTCATAAAATACTTGAGTGGCTTTCATAAAATACTTGAATGGCTGTTAATCATTCTAAATTATCGTTAATTTTGCTTTCATTGATGATCATCATGGAATTTGAAATTCATCATTAATTTTGGTTTTTGGTTTTCAATAATGACAAAATTCAGTTACAACTCAGTAATTTTTCGGAATAGTTAGCAATAATCCATGTTAAGTTTTTCATAAATGATTCGCAAGTTTAAATAGTAACTAGGAAGGATTGTTTATTAATCGGTTAAAACACAGAAGTACTTGTTTAAGGCAGGATTGGCAAACTTAACTTATTTATCACTAAACGCTTATTTTTTTGTTCCTTTATTTACTGGACTTGGCATGACATAATTGGGCTCTAAATCAAAATTTTATTAGTTAAAATCCTTATAGCTAAAGTATGCAGTTTTTTTCCATTAAAACCTCCAAACGAGGAAATTTGTAAGCAACTATCAATTTGCAATTCAAATTAAATTACAGGCTTTATGCAGAATACCTGAAAAATGTGCAACAGAAATAGTTTTTCTCTTACATTTATCTTAGACGTATTTCCTGTTGCAAAGTGTCTCAGAACAAAGTACAATACGTAATGAAAATATTCCATTGTTGGTTTTATGGCGGGCGTATGTATAAGAAATACATTTTTATATGTATGTTTTGTGTAGAAAACGTTCTAAATATTTAAATACTCTGCACAATTTAGTAAATCATGAAAAGTTCCAGAGTTTGACGAGAAAATCTATGAACGCATAGAAAACTGAATTTCGTGATAACAAAATAACTTTACAGTCCTTATTACTATTACTAACAGGAATTTACGATGTTTTGATTATGCTCAAACAGCAGCTTTAATATCAAAGTTCTTCATTTTAGAAATTAATTTTTTTTCTGACTACAACAAGATTCATTATTTAGTTTTTATGCAGCCATATGAATGTATTTAGTCTGCATACTGTAGAAATTTTGCACATAAAGGTTGTAGAATATTTTGCATTTAATTTATTAATATTCAGTGAATATTTTACTGGAATTTTTTGTAAGAAGGAACACATAAAATATTTAGTTGCATATTTACATAAAACTCCCGGGCTGAAGAGAAAAGCAGTTTTCATAAAACTTAGTGCAGGGCTTTGATAAACTTTAAAACTAAGACGTGATATATATAAAATCAGTGTTTAACAAGTTTTTTTTTGTTTTTTCTGTTAAGACACTCTGTAGACTTTGTTATCGAATATCTTTTATAACCATACACACCAGCTGTAAGAGTCTTTATGCAGCCTGCATTTTCACAACCGTTGGTCGAAAACACAGGATCTCAATTAATAAAATACTTTAAATAAGAAAAATGTTTAAGTCACAGCATTTTTATATAAAAAAAATCCATTTTGTAAAAACTTCTAAATCTCTGCGTCCTGTCCCTATAGTTGTATTTAATAAACGTTTGCCCATATTCTAAAAAATAAAATACAGGAAATTTGCAACAAAAAGTGATCGTGTTATTTAATTTTAAAATTTGAGCCCATGCTTACAGGTGAAATATTTAACAGTAAAATATTTAAATTTGTACGCAACTAAAAATAAAATATCAGTTTAGAAAAGATATTTTATGTTAATAAATTAAGTGCAGTACTTCTATGCAAGTTATTCTGAAACTGAGAATGTTAGATAATTCGTGTTCTAGAAGATACTGTCAAACTTCAAATTTGAGATACAGGTAATTTATAATATTATTTGCAGAAATTAAAATTAAAAACTATTTCTAGTCTATTCTTTTATATTACCCTTTGTTTATGAGCGTGATGTAATAAAACGGTCTATAAATATTATTAACGTATGTTTAACATTTAAAAACTTATAAATTCTGAGTGTGAAAATACTTTTGGTATACTAAATGTAGTAAAATCATAAATTAAAAAATGTCTCAGGAGGTAACTTACAATATCAGTCATATATATCAAATCAATATCAGTCGTATATAATATCAGTAATATAACTTACAATATCAGTCATATATATCAAATCAATATCAGTCATATAACTTACAATATCCGTCATATATATGACATCAATATCAGTCAAATATAATATCAGTCATATATATTAAACGAAAAAAAACTCATCCTTGAATAATTTTCATTTTAGCCGACCTCTCAAAAGAAGCCGAGAAAGGTGTCAAAAAACCCAAATTTTAAAATTAAATACCTCAATCAGTGTTTATCGTATGAGGTTCAAATACTTTTTTATGAGGTTCAAATACTATAAAAATTCAAATTTTTATCGTGGGTATAAACATTTACTAAATATAACTACAGGGCTCGGAGTAGAGTATACAAAGGTAAAGATTTCATAATTTTTACAAAATTTATGTTTTGAAACTCGAAAAGGCAAATACATAAATATTTGTGTGGTTTAAAACCTTTTCGTAGCACGAAGTATATGTGCATGACAGCGAAAATAGCCAACCATGAGCAACGGTTGCGAAAATAAAGCTCTCATGAGCACTTTTACGGATACGGGGTGTAAAAAATTTTATTTGATTTTTGAAATGATTATTCTAATTGGATATTTATGGGATATTTGATATTCGAAATGAACTAATTTATTCTATTTTGTAATGACATAAAAAATTGACCTTGTATGTTTAAATACATTTGTTTCCAATTCTTTTTTTTAACTTACACATATTTTGAAGTAAAATAAAATAATGAGCATACAAATTTTCAAATAATTAAAATGATACGAAAATGTACTCAGAAATTGCTTTTAAAGATAAAGATATATTCAGAACGCGCTTTTAAACAGATAAAACAAACATAAACTTCTTATTTATTTATGACTTTAAAAGAATAAAAATTTCTATAGTTACCATTTTCAAGGGTTTTTACTAAAAAGTCATCAGATGGGGGTCCTGCGCCTTTGGAATTGAATGCCTGTACTACAACATTGTATTCAGTGTTTCTTCTTAAACCAGTCACGTGACATTCTTCTTTGAAACCTTCACCAATTTCTAAAGTTTTGTACACAAAAGACTCTGTTGTTCCAGCTACCTTATAGCCAACATAATATCCCTTCAATACCCCATGCTGAAGATCAGGGCTTGGAGGCTATAAAAGAGAGAACAAATTATAAAAAGAGCTAAAAATTCACTCAAATCTTTTTCTGTTCAAATTTGTCATCGTTTTCTGTACAATGATAGAATTTAATGGATAAATGTGAATTTTAGAGAAATTATAAGTAAAATTGGAGACCCGTTGCATTTACTGTGGATTAAATATTGACATAATTAATATGCGGTTAATTTCAAGTTTAATGTGCTCTTTCTTAATATAAAATTGCATAATTTAATGCGTTTCTTATCACAATAATATTATGATTTTTTGCGTTATGTAATAATGAATTCGAACGCATGAATCAGGAGTTTTCACAATTTCAAATAACTTTGTGAAGATAAAACTTTATAAAATCAGCACTACATTGACACTGACGTTACAGAAAAATTCTGTACACTTTCAGGCAGCATGAAAGAGGTCCCTCAAAAGTTCTAGAGCAAAAATCTTCTGAGTTGCAGTACAGGTAAGAAGCAATTACCCTTCAAAATGTCTAAAGCAAAAATCTTCTGAGTTGCAGTGTAGGTCAGAAGCAATTACTTAAATAGAGAAAAAAAAGGAATAAATAAGCAATAAGTAAAGAGGCAAGAACCCTGCCATTATCTATCCAAGAAAGGAGAAATCTAAGGATTAACAGACAATGAGGAAATGCTTTGCAACATTTCGGAGGGGTCCACTAGCAGCGTGTGGTTAAGTCGCTGAACATTGGTAGTTCGGTCGGAAGCTCAATTCCTCCGAACGGGTGGCTAATTAAAGAATACTAATAATTTAAAAATTGACAAAAGTAACAGATATTTCCAATATTTTGCCCAAAGTATTGTAAGAAACTATTGTACGTAATTTGAAATGTTGGACTCAATTTCAAATCTCTAAAACCTGTATGACATGACAATATGTAGAAGAGAGCAGTTCGAGTCATTGTGCAAACAGATGTGAAGCATCTTTTGACCTCTCGGCCAAATGTCACATTTTCAGAAATGAAGCTTCGATGTCTTCGGTAAGAAATAAATGCCTGGCATGCCACAATTACCTTATTCGCCAGATTTCTTATTCCTCTATTATTAAGATCAGTTCAATATTTTCATATTCTAGGAGATCAATATGTTTAGAAAATTCGATGCGAATATGACAGATATGACAGTTACAAAAGTGATATTCTCTGAATCCTTCCGTGAGTGCTGGAGCAAATGTGCATGTTTTGATGGATGTTGTTTAGAAATTGATTAGGTAAGAATTTATTTACATTTCAAACAGAGAAGCCCTACGAAAATTTTCGGGAAGTAATAGTATAATAATAGTAACATAGATAACATACGAGTAACATAGACAAATAATAGTAACATAGTTCAGCAATTCACAATGCTTCTACAAAAGATAAATACATCAATATCTTTTTAATGAAAAATATGAATTTTCAAAGAAAGACGCCTTCATATAGGCAACTCACTATAAAAGTGTGACACCTTCATACAAGTCGGCTACTGTTCAAAAAGCGCAGAAAAATCTATATAACATGCCTACATCCTCTTTCAAATCAGTTTCGTACCTGTGAGGCAACTTCCATAAGGCTGTGGGCATTCTCACGCCAGAGTACCTTTCTAAGTGCAATTTTCTATAATATGAAGTTGTTTAGGACTATGCCCAACATAAATAGAGGGAGCTTACCTATGTAATGGAGCAGTGTTCTGAAGTGGTCTCTTCGAAACAGCCTACACCAGTATTTATCCAAAAGTTTGCAAATGAAAGATTTATATAGCAAAATTAGGCAAAGCAATAAACCATTAAATTTGGAGTTGAATTTAGTCATGGCTCTACCGATTTCGAGGACTAACTACTACAGGTCCTTCTTCATCAGGATCATAGAAATCTATCAGAGAAGTCTTCACCAGAGCAGATATTTTTGCTGTTGATGAAGAGGGATCTGTACGTGTTTGTGCTCGAAATGAGCAGACTTTTGATTAAAATCTACGCCAAGCACAAGGTTTGTTGTTTTGACTAATTTTATGTTTTGCTTTGGTATGTTTCGCTTTTTTTATTTACATAGTGATTTCTTTTGTTGTATTTCACTACATACATATCTGAATACCGTTTATTTCGCCGAAAATTCTTTGTTTTTTGAAATTCTATGTTTGCAGACTCTTATGTGATGATATTTTGCGCCAGTATTTTAACTGCTATGGATACAAGCATTAGGTCTTCTAAATCTTCTGAATTTAAACTTTAAATGTAGAATATCGAACATGTTTTTCTTCCATTAGATTCGTAATAAGGATTCTTCCTCCATGATGATTGTTCTCACTATGAAAATGTTAACATTTTAAATGGCTTCTCTTCGTTGGTAGTAGCTTGTTTTCCCGTGTAATCAAGCACAAAGAGTAATCTGGCGACTAGAAGTCTCTCTCTTTTATTCATACACACTCTGTGAATTTCGGCTTCTCCTTTCAAGAAAGTATTTAGCATATTTTCAATACAGATGGTACAGAGCATTTGAATTTGGATTACTTCCAAATATTCATATGCAAAATTCATTTCGTTAAAATGATCTAAATTTTTCCTTTACTTAGAATAAAAATAGGCCCTGATAATGTAAAAATGATGCTAGCAAAGTAACGAGGTTTTCAATGATATATTTAAACAGTTCAAAAGTATTTATAAAACACCAGAATAGTTGTAACTGCAGTAAGGCTTTTAAAACTTACTCAGTTAGAACGATTCATTCAGAACTGAGAATTCTCAATGGAGTCACTGGATCTTCTTAAAATAGCCTTTAATCTGTGGATTGATACTTTTCTGATAATTAATCATGTGCCATTACTTTGTCTTGAAATTAACTTGAAGTTTTATGGGCAGCTTATATAATTTTCATTTGCTCTTTTGCGAGTAAATGAAATTATTTTGAAACAAAGATTTTCTACTGTTCTTTATTCTATGCATTGTCTTACTTAAAGTCAACAACTTTTTTCGAAGATATTTAAATTATTTCTTGCAATTTATCCTCTAGTGAAATAATGCAAATGCATTATTGATATCGATAGGACTGTATTTAGGATAAGGATCTATTTTTACACATAGATGACTTAAATAAATGGAATGAAATTTATGCTTAATTTTAGAGATTCTAGTAACGTAACTCTAACGGTTTAGATTTGTGAACTAGTTGAGTATGATATATATTAACCTTTATCTACATGTGTTTGTTTATTTATGTACACAGGGAGAAGAGAAGGAAAGACAGAGAGGTTGCCAGATATATATTGTTTCGAGCTACCAGTTTCAAAGATTCAACGTTAAAGTATTTCGAAGTATCTAAGGTATAGTGTCTTCTACCTTCACATCCATAAATATTAAACAATGAGCAGAACTGACAAAGGATACATAAAACTCGCTAAGAAAAATAATTGAAGAGGAAATCAACATGACCTGAGAAAATATAAGGAGAAGAAAGAAGAACTTTTAAGAATATTACAAATTTTGAAAAATTATCAGTGATTAGCGGGGTACAGCATGCTAACCATTGGACTAAGGATAAACGAGAAATGTTTTTAGCTCAAAGCGGCGGTAGCCCAGGAGGCTCAAAAACAGCATTTTATTTATTTATTATAAACGGCGAAACAATTTTTAAATTGTTGCCATCAAATATTATCGCCCTGTATTATATTTAAAGAAATTAAATAATGAAGAATCTGCATGAATGTATGTATGTTTCTCGCATTGTGAAAAAACGACAGTACCTAGAACCACCAAATTTTTTAACGTAATTCTCCACCCGACCATGGACACCTGGAGACTCTAATTTTGAAATTCGAATTTGTTTTTTTATCTAGTTTATATTTGGAAAATTTTAAAGAATTTTTGATTAACAACCTCAACGATTTCAAAGCAAGCAGTGGCAACAGTGTACATAAAGTTCCAGCACGTGAGACTGTCTGTTGGAAATTCTAAAAATATGCTGTTATAATTATTTATGATATTGCTGTTAAATTGAATTTTATGTGGTTTAAGTGCAGAGAACATGATATTTAACAAATAAAGGTAACACACAAAAATGTTATGAAAAGTCCGTTTGGGCGTAACATAAAATCTGAAAGCTTTCGTCTCTTTTTTTGTATTTTATATTTTATAATTTTTTTGGTATTTTATAATTTTTTTACATAAAGACAAAATAAAAGTAAAAGCGTATATGAAAGCGAATAAAAGTAAAAGCGTATATGAAAGTAGATTATAATAGACTACTTGGTCGCATGGATGATAAATCATAACTTAGCACTGTAATAATGGTATGGCGAGGAAATTACATAGCCAGAATTTAATCTGCAGGAACTGATTTCATAAGAAAGTTTAACAGATTGATAATAATACTTGAAGACGGTACCAGTTCGAACAACCTCCCCCCAGGGAGTCGACGTAGGGAACTCTGCGAAGCTTCTCGCTAGGATCTGTACGTAGGCAGTCTCGGCCACGGGGGTATAAAATTTATGAATTTAGTGGTTTTGAAAACCCCGTATAGGTCACTTATTTCCCGGCCCGGTGGTCCGGCACGTCCTAGCGCGGCGTGAATCTAGTAAACCGGGGGTGGGCGGGTTCGCTGGGTAATGTCCTACTGCGACGGGCAGACCGAGCGACTGGTAGGTAGCAAATTAACGACCAGTGCCGTTTGGTAAACAGCAGGAGGTGCGCCACTCTTTCCGAGGGGCAAGAGCGGAGGTTGAACCTTCTCACCTTGTTCTGAAGGGAGAGTGGACCTGTAAATGCGGTTCAGTCTCGCGAGGCAGGGAAGCCTGAAACTTACTTACCAGTTCGAACAAATGCTACTAAATCGGTGATATTTCTTCAATGATCTCGCTAGATAAGCAGGAAAAATTAGCACTTTATTATGAAAATACACGAAATATAATAGAATAATTAGCTGTTAATAGCTCAAAGAGAACACGGATATTAAGCAACTCCTCTTTAGCTCACGGGAGTGTTGTCAATTACCGAAATAACTTCATAAAATA